TTAGCCGCTGTCGAGTAAGATGTTTCTCTGTGTGTCACACTCAGCATGATTCTACGCGTTTCTGCTCAAAAGAGCGATTATCTCTACCCTTATCAGTTGAGACATCTCCATAGAGTATCCAAGGATGGGCATTAAATTAACTTTGGGACTCCGTACAGCCTTTTGCGAGGATCTTCTTTGTATTCTGATATTGGTTACCAAGAAGACGCATGGTTCGAATTTTTGGGTTGATTGTACGAATCATGAGTACTTATCACTGGTTGATCGACTCTACCGGCAGCTAATCTCATCCGATTTCTGGAAGAGATGTGTTCAATCTACTTTGACAGCAAGGTACCTGGTCAAGAACGTCTCTCAGACATATAGGATATCTCAAATTGGCGCTGGAAGGTCTACTTCTGGATATCTGGCGAATAATGTCTGTACGCATCCTACATACCTTGTGATCTTGCAGACATTGTTATTGTTGACCAGATATCCAAGCCAGGTGGCACGGTTCAAGAGAACTTAGTCATGGTACCTTGCCGAGAGTGACGACCACGAATCAAAGCACAAAGGGCGGGTGGAGTGCAATCATTACCCGAGGGAAATGGCGCTTGCTGGCTGCTGCTTTCTAGGTTGCAAGTTGCAACGCATGCCTGTCTGTCATACCAGTACCTTAATGGGCCTACGGTCCTTACCTTACCTACATTCTCTCTCCTTTCTTTACTCGTCCAGGAATAGTCAAAAGGACAATAGCAGATGTCAATAATAATAGCTTTGAGGATCTAAAACTTCCATGAAAACCACAAATATTACCTGTACATCCACCAGCGGCAACCCGTGTGCAGGTACTGACAGACATGAAGACTACATGAGGAGAGTACAAAAGTACCTATGCGTAAGGTAGTCATCATTGTGCTGCACCATTTTAAGTTATGTATTTAATGAATAACAGTCATTAGCAGGAACATTATTGATCCTCATACCAACAGTCTTCAGCTACCATACTAGAAGCAGGAAAATAAAGGCAGAATAACATTACCTTAATCTCCTCATCTTTGCCTGTCTACAGCTGTGCCGTCGAGTAATGAGGATATCGCCTCAGGATTGCCCGCTAAACCCAATCAAGCAAGCCCAGATTTCAATGCAGAGACTGGGAGGAGATAAATTTGCCAGAATAAGATTAACTTGTAACTAAAAAGACGTCACTTAGGGCCATTCACTAACCGCTTTTAGTAAGATTAAAGCAATACTATTGGCTTTTATTCAAAGTGGCTGTTTTTTCTCCACTTGCAGCTCCTTTAAATGGATACCATTGGGCTTCCTAGTTCCCACCTTGCCACTCAGATGCCGCGGACGGACTTCTGGTTGGATTCTAGCTGCCCTAAGAGTGCTGCGTGACCTTGGTTAGCACCGAAAGTGGAACGCAGATATTACCATACAATCCCTCGTCAGGACCAACTTCATTATTACATGCCAGGTTGGCTGTATGGTAAACAGTGTACTGATCTGGTACTGCCTTTGCAAGGGCTCCACCAGCTCCTACGGATTGAGGACTCACTCAGCCCCAGCAAAACAACTGCAGCCCCTCCTGGCCTGTTGCCTTCGTCCGCTGCGAGCATCGTCTTCCCTTTTCTTCGCTCCCGGTTCTTCTTTTCTACCTCTTGTCCCGCCCATCGATTCATGATTCCCCATCCCACAACCAACTAAAACACAAATTCGACCCGACCTTTCGCTCTCACTCCCCCAACTTCCACTCTTCTTCCTTAGTACTATCATTACTACATCCCCTTTGTATCTTTGTCTTATATACTTGCATTCCAACTGTCCTCTTCCGTCTATACCCTTTCATTTCGCCTTTCAAACCGTTCTTGTTGTCCTCAGGTATCGAGTTGTGCTGGTTTTCTGTAATCACCTCGAAAACCTGAGTCAGTAACATTAACATACATCTGCCCCTCTATTCGCCACCACAAATCACATCACAATGTCTACTTTCTTCTACGGCCATCACCAGCAGCATCACCACCAGCATCACCATCAGGGTGCTACTAGCCACATGCCATCATCGAACAACCATCATAGCGGCCGCTCCCGTAGAGGGCCCAAGATGGCATCTCAGAATGCTCAACGTCAATTCCGCGGTGTGAAGAGTATGAGAGAACTTGCTGAAGCCCCTGCTGTGACTGCCTTCCGCGCACGGTTTGAAGCTGGCCGGTCTTTCGACCTGGACGACGACCTGGAGTTCTGTCCGGGTCTCCTTACAGAGGACGATGTATGTTATGAGAACCCGGTTCTCGGACCTCCCGTTCCCTCAGATATTGGCCGAGCGCCTAGGACCCCTCCAACCAGCTAAATTCGAGGCATTTTTATTAACACCGAAATCACAGCTACACTCAATTCACTCTGCTTCCTCGGATCGGTCGTCGCTCTCCAGCGGTTCTCCGGACTCGTCTCCTCTTCAGCACCAGATTCAGCCTGTCCAGCAGGTCACGCCATCCATCTCCTTGTCTCCCGCGTCTACCAATTCATTCGTACATTCAGGGGTTACCAGTAATCTTAATATGAGCTTCCAACAGCCGTCGGCGGTCCGCACTCGCAAAGTCATTCCCATCGTCAACCCTAACACCGGAATGACATTGACCAGCCCGCCCACGTCCATTTCGCCTGGTGCGATGCAGAATGCTCAGCGGCGGTGGTGAAGACTGCTATCTGCGAGGTCGCCATGTCAGTGACAGAGACCTCCGGTCATGGCATGTTTTCTCTTCTGCTGTCTCGGCTTCTGCATCATCGCGATTCCCTAACCGCCGGTCATAATTCTTCTGGTACTTACTTCCATACGGCCATCGCATCTTATCACGACTCAACCGAAGTTTCTTTTACGAGCGCAAGAAACCTAAGAGGATAAACTAGTGTTTTCTGTATATACACTTCTCTCCGATGACGACCTACAGCACTACAGCACTTCTATTAGATTCTCTGCTATACTTCATCCTATTGCGAGCGACGGCGCCTGCGATTCGACTTTAGTTTTGCATTCTTTTTTCTCTCACACACACACACACACACACACACACACACACACACGATACCTTCTTTTATCTTCCGGTTAGGGAAAAAAAATATTCCTTTTGGCCTCGGGGTTTGGCCGCGATGATGATAGAAGCGCGGCTTGGCGCTTTCATGTCTATGGTCCGGAGTTGCTTCTGTTCGGTGTGCTATGGCGACTGTGTCAGATACGTTCAGGTTTCTGCCGATTCATCCTCGGATATTGCTTATTATTGGGGTTATTGATTTTTGGGCGGGACGGAATACTCATGCTTCAAAGGGATTAGAAAGGCGGAAACGATATACGTCTGCATTGTTGGGTTGATATCATGGTTCTGATTGGGATTCTTGTCGGTGACATCCATACTCTCGTCGGGCGTTGTTCCCATATGTCCTTGCAATTGTTTCATTTTTCTCTTTTCAACTTCTTTGGATTTTTTCTTTTCTTTCCTGTAAATTGATTGAGAGTCGGGAGTCTGGTGGTGCTCATTGCTCCGCTGCAATTGATCAACTGGCCTAGATGGTCTCTGGCTGGAAAGCCATTGACCATGCCGCACTTACCTTTCAAGAAAAAAAAAGTCTCGCTCCGTTGCTGTGTCATTGGTCGAAGCTGCACTTCTTAAATTCTCTAATCTTCCACGTTGATTCGTTTGGATGTTACTTTTGTCATAACTTCTCCCGGAGAGTACTTATCATCATTCAAATGTATGATTCTTCTCAAACGCCTCTCTTCAGGTTGCCATTCTCACTTTCTCTCCTTGATCGTGTCTTTGCTGCCGAACCCAAGGTCAGTCCTATGCATAGTGATCGAAGTACTATTTATCAAGACCGGATCAAGGTCATTGGCACGGGCCCGGTCCAGTGTAGGCATCAGGTCGCCATCGCGTAGGGATTGGTAATTGGTGTATGAAGGTCTAGCAACGCAGGAGATTGTGACGCCCAATTTGTGTGTGTTAAGGGCAACTAGGTCCAGTTCCGATGATTCTTAAAACTCGACATGGGAATTAGCCGTGAGAAGAAGCATGTCGATGATGACCAGCTAAAAGAAAGCATGGGATTGCATTTCAAAACGTCTGGCATGTCTGGAAGTTAAGGATGTGTAGATTGTACCAGGGACGGGAATTGCAGAGGCGACTCTACAATATATGTGCCTTGATGCATGGAACATGACATGAAATACAGTTTCAAGCCTATATACATGATGTCACTGCCTACACTGTTACTTGCCAGACGCTGCACATTAGAGAGCATGATAAAGCGGGTGTTTGAGGATGCCGGGCCGACGGGATATATCAACGCCGTTATCTAGTTAAGCAGCAAAAGAACATGTCTCTAAACATGGACTCTCGGCCAGAGCATCTACTTACCATACCAGAACAGACTGACTGCTATAGATAGAGTGACAAACTATTGCTAATAATGAAGTTCCCTTCGTCCATGCCCAGGTCCACCCCAAGATGGCTGGTCGATTGAGTAGCAGTGACGTCATCACTGACACCCACAACGCAAGATGTGGGCATTTTCGTTGCCCCTATGGAGAAGACCCAGGGGAGCACATAATCGCTGCAGTGACAATTATCGTGATTTACTATCGTCCCGAGGGATCCAGTCAAGCTTGGCCGAGGTGGATGGCATTCTTTGGGCGTTGCGTATGCGTTTTCGCTTTTACTTTATAAAGTCGTCTCGTCTCCCGCTACTGATGTGTGCCTCACTTCTGATTTAGTGACATTTCATCTTTTCCTACTGGTATATATCCGACACGAACAGAGTATATATTTGTCTTATTCTGGTTCACATCGAAGGTGAGTTGGAGCCATCGATACCCACTGAAGCAATACTCTTGCCTCCCACCGTTCAATTGCGAATTGCGTCTTTGGTGTATTACTCGCACCACACTAGACCATATCACACTCATAAGCAGCAAAGTGTATGCTAACAGACCTCTCAAGCAGAGTCACATCCCGCAAATCATCATGTCGTTCCTCACCTCCGTACGTGCATCGATTAGCCCCCGCGTGGCCATCAGACCAGCCTACACGGCCGTCTCGGCCTTCCACAACTCTGCCGCTCGCCTGGGCTTGAAGGAGTCGGATCGGAGTCAGTTTCATCCTTCTATCTGCTCCTCGAATTGCAAATGACTAATGTGAAGAGCGCAGACCGCGATGATCTGGACTCATACTACGAGGCTGAGAAGCAAGATCAGTTGAAGAGTACCAAGGAGGGCAAGGCGAAGTGGAAGGGCGAGCTTGCTAGCAACAGTGAGGCATCGGTAAGGGTCAATTGACTTCGACTGAAGTAAAACATTGACTGATAATTGGTACTAGGTCAAGGCAGACCGCGGCGAGCTTGACAGCGACGATAAGGACTTCCAATCACTCCAAAGTCGCACCAAGGATCTGCCGAACAGGAGTGGCCCTGTGAATAAGTCTCAATAGATTCCTCTTATCTAGTGCTTCGGTTGTGGAAGGCGACTCTCGATTCGGGTGTTGCGATATTCGGTAATTCATGGGAGTTTGCATGTTGTCGTGTATTTTAAGGAAATATGCCATGAATTCAATGGATGAACATTATCAGATCAACAGTTTATATCAACGACAAAGGGATATCGATAAAGCATCAATCAAGGAGCGTAATAAATTGTATCGAGGTAAGACAATTCCATCTAACGCCCCAGGGAGGCTCGGATACCATGTATGGGGAGTTCCAAACGTCGCGAGGAAGAAGCAGACAGACGCCATGTTCGCCTTAACACCAGGTCATATAAGAACAGCAAGTATTCGTGTAGGGGGGAGATGAGCCAAAAGACCATCCGGATATATATGCCAATCGCTTATTTCAAGATCACAATCAGAATGACTAGAATGATAATCAGACCAATAATGGTCATCATACTCCAGTTCTCACCCGCCTTCTTTCTGATCTTATCCAGCCGTTTCCTCGCGCCATCCAATCGTCTCTGGTGCCGGTCGACGTCACCATCCATGCCATCAAGCAGTGCGACGTGTCCTTCCAGCTCGTCGCCAATTTGAATGCTGAGCTGATGCTGTCGCCCGATTGACTCCCCAAGCCGATCCAACTGTTCATCCTGCTCGCGGAGGGTCTCGGCGTGATGGTCGTAAATCTGGTGATTGGACATGTTGGAGTGGTCCAGACTTGGAGGAGAAGGCGAGTCGCGGTATGGCTGAAAGAGGTTGCGACGATTTTCATCAGCCTCTTCCGCTGCGGAATCCATGAATCGGACAGACTTGGAAGGCGGATGCTGTGGAATCGGCTGTTTCAGGTCGGGAGACGACTTTTTGACATTACTGAAATCTGAGTCCAAGACCGAATCGTCTTGTTCGTGAAACTGGGATGAGAGGTCTCGATATTGTGATTGCAGATGATGGAGCTGATCTTTAAGATCAGTGACGCCATCGTCGTTCGCTTCCTCCAGACGCGACACTTCCGATTCTACCGATTCAATGCCATCGCGTAGAGACTCTAAAGAGCGGGAGATTTCTCCATCCTGACTATTGGGCTCCAGATTCAGTGAGATCGCTCGTTGTCGCTCCAACAGCGACAATTTGATGTGATCAGCAAGGAGGAATAACTGAGATGGGTTCGGCATCTTGAAACGGCGGTTGCGGCCTGGATTCGGGCGAGGTATGTGACAGGTATAACGACCGTGGGAAGCCTGGAAGATGAGGCCGGGACACCCAGCGCTGATGAGGCAATAATGCGGAGACGGTCTGAGGCTGAGTACCAGGGAATGGAATGCGAAAGGAGGAACGCGGCGCAGGCGTCAGCGACAGGTCACGTAGCGGCCTCCGTCGGTGAGAAGCTGATTTGACGGTGGAAGTGGAAGGGGTAAACTTCGCGACCTGGATAAGTTGTTGACGGGGTTGGTGGTTGACAATGATGGATGGACTGGATGAGGCCTACTCGGCCGGCGACGGATTGATCTGCCGTTTCCGCATCATCTGCCCCCCGCAATAATAGCCTCTTTCCTTCCATCCGATGCTGTTTCAGTCCTTTTTCTCAACATTCCTTTTTCGCCTCGTCTGCAAGCCTCAAGTTCATCCAGCGTTTGTACGTATCACACAGAGATCTTCAATCCAACTGCAGCCACCGTGTGACCCTGGTGGGTTGCTGTCATAGTTATCGTTTCATCTTCAGACCTCCACGGCAACTCGATAGACGATCATTTCTTGATAACTCCCTTTTTGATCACACCTGAACTCTGCGGTGTCTTGCATACCCCTATTAAACGGAGCCGTTTGACTGAAGGCGACAGATACCGGACACTTTTACCGACTATGAACCTCGAGGAGCTTCTGATGATGGAGTCGAGCTGCGACCGCGACGAGATCGTTGACCTGCGTGCTCTGGAGTATGTCTCCAATTATGACGACCATCTTATGTGTGCAATATGCCACTGTCCCTTTATTCGACCGGTTCGCTTGCAGTGCGACCATGTTTTCTGCCAAAAATGCTTGAATTCCGCCATTACCACGTTTGCCGCTGGTCGAGATGATTTCACATGTCCGACCTGCCGCACGCCGACTCGAGATGTTTACCTCAATGTACCTCGACTATTGATCAATATGTGCGACGACGTACGAGTAAAGTGCCCATTTTCGAGCGAGGGTTGCAAGGAAATTGTACCGAGAGGTCATGTTCAGGATCACGTCGATAAATATTGTGCATATAGGCTCATGGATTGCCCGGGGACACTTTGCGACAAGAAGACCAGGAAGAAGGATCTCAGTCCCGATAAAAAATGCATGCATGAGCTGCACCAGTGCTCCCGTTGCGAGGAGGAGGTAATGGAGCAGGATTACGAGGTTCGTTCTATGCCCTGACGATTGTCTTATTTTGTGGTTAACCGTATTTCTTTTCCGTTTTATCCAGGAGCATGTAAAGGAATTGTGCCCCAGCTTGAGAACAACCTGTCCCGACTGTCAAACAACAGTTTTCCGAAAAGTGTTGAGGGATCATATTGAAACCTGCCCGGAGGCAATACATGCTTGTGCTGCATCCAAATATGGATGCCCCGTTAAAGTCAAGCGGGCCGACCTGGCGACACATGAGCAAATTTGTCCACTCATCGCTATGGGCCCTTATTTCGAAGCTCAGAATGCCCGGCTTGACTCCTTGGAATTGACCATCCGCCATCTTCAGCAGCGAAATGAGATCTTTGAGGACGGAATCGCCAACATTCGCTCTACCCTACTTGATGCTTCACATGCCCTTCCTGGACACAACACAGAGACACGGTTAAGCTCTTCGGGGCAGTCAGGGTCATCAGGCTCTCCGCGCCTGTCGGGTAGCCAATCACACACTGATCATTCTAGTGCAATATCTTCTAATGCCGCCACTACGACATATCTACTCGCCCTGCACGAGTCTCTTCGAGAAGAAGTTGGTCAGCTTTCGCATGCAATCACCGATTTAGACGCTCGCGCCAGCATGGCGATCATGAATGAGTGTCTCCGTATAAAGGAAGACATGGCTCACACAAATGCTGCTGTCAGCAGTATTCGCATGCAGATCCAATGGCTGATGAATCCTCGTCTACACCAGGACCATCGAACTATTGGTGCACGTGGAAACAATGGCAGCAATAGCAATGATGAGAGCAGGACTGGCCAGCTAGGACCGTCTACGTCTGGTCCATCCTCAGGCTTGCTTAGACCCCGGAGACCGAGCGATAGCGGAAGGGAGGGCACCAAACTTTGACCTCCTGTCCTTGCTTGTTTTATTGAACATGCAAATTATGATGATGATATAATATAATACGCTTATGACGAGCCATGGCATTAGACAGCGGTTTTGTTATTGTGCAACGTCTGTCATTCGCCTTGCACTGGATGCTTGTATATAGGATGCTTTTCGGAGTTGACTGGTCGGTCAGCGGTGGTTGCGCGCTTTTCCCTTTGTTCTTCAGCTGGTCTGTGAAGGCTAATAGCGCTTTGAACCTCTCTGTCATGGCATGCTCGTGTATGGTATCTGTTAATTCTTCGGAGTATTGAATCTATCTCTGACACCTGACACATAACACAACCATATACGTAATTGGTTCTAACACGGCCATACATCTAGTTTATAGACCACGAGCTCGAAAGAAGTGGGTTTATCGAGAAAAATAACAACGGGAAAAAAAGACGTGAAGCAAAAAAGAGCCGAACGCGGGGGTCGAACCCGCAACCTTGAGATTAAGAGTCTCACGCTCTACCGATTGAGCTAGCCCGGCGGCGCTTGTTGGAAGGTATTTTCTAATGTGTATTATGTACCGGAAACAGCACCGTCGAGAACTTAATAACTGGATTATTATTGAGCATAATATAATTCAAAGACACGTAGGATGTTACCGGTCGAGGGTTTTTAACGCGAATAAATACATTTCTTGAGTATGTTTATATCTATGTTTCCAACTTTACTGAGTGGGTAAGAAAGCAAGTTCACATGTTATCGTGACAAATGTATATTTCCAGCAATGAGCCATAGATTTATACACATGGTAGCGATCAATCCGCATCACAATCGCAACCTGTGGCATTAATATCCAGAACCGTATCTATTATCATAGCCTGACCCGGGATGACCGTGATGCCCCTGGCCATACCCATGTGATTGGTGCTGATGCTCGTGGTGCTGATGCTGCTGGTGCTGATGTTCCGGGGGCTGGTAGCCAGGACCCGGAGGTGGGTGGCCATATTGGTCCCCATAAGGGTTGCTCTGGTAGCCACCGTGGGGTTCACCGTACCCACCACCGGGATGCTGCTGATAGTGCTGGGGATGATGTGGCTGGGAGTGTGATTCGTAAGGCTGCTGGCCATGTGGTTGATATGGACGATCAGGCTGTTGGTGCTGGAATGGAGCCTGATGTTGGGGAGCTACATTCTCGACACGTTCCTCCCTTGATGAGCTGCCCGGTAAGAAACTAGAGAAGGCACTCTCCAACTTGCTGAGATTGGATATGCCTGGAATGGGGAGCTTTGAGAGCTGGTTCCAGGGGAGGGAGGAGGACTGCTGCTGCTGGGGAGGATGCTGCTGATGAGCGGCATGGCTAGGCTTGTTACCTCCCAATGCAGCAAAGCCAGTGCTGGCATGCGAGTGTCCGACTTCGCCGCCGCTGTTCTTGCCTGCCCTGACACCCTCAGAGCTCAGAATATCATTGAGGCTTGCACCTCGGTCCGGCCTGGAGTGAGCCCAATTCTGAACGGTCTCGAACATGGTCCGGTGTGCCTCATTATGCATGTCGCGCAGGGCAGGATGGTGGAACACACGAAGGCAATCGTCCAGAACCTGTTGTTCCGGGGCTTCGGGATGCTCCCAGGCGTACAACACTCGAGGAGCGACATACTTGAGGATAGCTGAGGCGACTCGGCCAGCGGGTTCATTGAGAATGTTGGAGAAGTGATCCTTGGAAAGCATCGAGTGGGTGGGGTCGGTGCAGTGAGGATCTGTCCATGGTCCAAATTGGTGCTTGCCAGAGGCATCAATGACACCGGACGAACCAGCCTGTAACGAATTGGAAGCGGCGTTGATGATGGGACGGATGAACGGAGCAAGAAGTGACATAACGAATACAGTCAGGGTTTCCGTGACCTTGTCCACCAGCGTCTCTAGACCCGGAATCTTCTCAATTATTGACGAAAGCTTCCGCACCACATTATCTCTGAACTGGAGAATGGGGTAGATCTGAGCCACAGTCTTCTTCGGATCAAAGTCTGGCATTCCTGGCAAACCAGGCGCAGCAGGGCCTCCGGAGGTGGAGGGCTGGCTAGGCCCCGAAGCTCTACTGAGCGATTCTCCCAGGTCGCGACCAATAGCCGAACCGTAATCATCCAATCCTCGAGATGTCTCGTGAGCGGTATATCCCGTCCTCTGACCACTGTGTTGATTGGCGTACTGCTGAGCTTCAGAGCGACGTTTGAGCTCCTCAGCCTGGGCGACGAGGTCCTTTGTCCCTGGGATTTTGCCCAACAATCCGGTGAAAGCAGAGAGAGATCCGCCAGAGGAGTTCGCCTGAGCATCCCCCAGCGCGATATCCATCTCATTGACCTCTGACTGGGTGAAGTGATCCGTGGCCTCTCCAAGTACGGAATGAAAGAAGTCCACCATACCAAAGGTGCCTGTCACAAGGGGAAAGACATGGTGACCACGGATATTCATTTCGGTGGCTGCGCCGGTGTGCGGAAACACATTGCGAAAGCCCATTTCGCGGAGCGCAAGTTCGCAGTAGTTTGTGTGCGCTGCAAAGTCCTCCAGAGTATGTAGACCTTGACCCAAGCATCGCAGAGCCTCACAAAGGTCTTCCTCCTTCCCCTTGTGGTGGCCACTGCTGGTATACAATCTTCCGTAGTGGATGCTCCTCGCCAGACTATACTTGATGTAGGCAGTACTCGTAGCCCAGTCTCCTCGTTCGTTCGCGATGTAGTTCTTCATACCAGTCTGCGGGTCGATGTCAAGTTCAACCTGGCGGATGGGGCCACGGAGTCGAGCGTCGTACTGGCGTGCATCCTGATTATCCGCATAGTCTTTGGGGTTGCTACAAGAGTCGGACAGACAAGACATCAGTACAAAGACGTAGAGGCATCTAGCAGAACTTGGGATTGACATACTCAATATGCTCCTCCGGGCGATATACTCCGAGTCTGTCGGAGGTGACCTCAAACTCAGCCGTCGCATAACCGAAAGTCAAGAAAGAAAGGATCCAAACAAGGATGCGGATGGTATCGGCGGGAAGGCTCTTCAAGGTACCGACGTCCATTGCCTGCGAGCTTAAAAAGCAAGTTAGTAACTGCTTTCGCATGCTCGACCCGCCAAAACAGACTACTCACTAATCGCGCAGCCAGTTTCCAAAATAAACGCGCTTGACCATAGTAGACGTCCACTTGTGGCCTTTGATAAAGGCAATAGTCTTGAGCATATCTTCGATGTCGCCATGTCGCCAGTTTTTGCCTTCAACAGCTGAGATAGAAGCGATGTCTATTGCTTTTAGCGACTAACAACGATAGGTGATCAAGCAGACGAGGGAAGTGGGACATACTGCCAGCACCAAAGGCATGAACCTGCGAGGGTAGCAAAACCAGTAGTAATGCCACCACAATGAGGGCATTGAAGCCTGGACTCATTCTGCGAATCATGGCCCAATCAACGTGTATATATTTCTGTACCTCAGTGAAAGATAGACTGCGTCAAGGCACCGGAGAATATAGCACAAAGCGTGGGGTATCTATGTATCGAACTCCCAATTTTCAAATATTCGGCTAGCCCTTGTTATATGGGAAGGAAATAGTCAGACGGAAGGCGTCCTCAGATGCGAACAGGAAATCAAGAAACTGCCCCGACTAGTTTGCATGTAAGAAGACAATGGCAGCTGAGATCAGAGCTGAAGCTGCGGATTATTGTTTCAGTAGCCCCGCTAACATCAGCCCAGCCGCGAGAACAATTAGTCCAAACTAGGACAGCCCTATTATTATTGAAAATTTATGAAATGACAGAGCGTATTTGTACAGACCAGTAAAAAATAATACAGAACGCAGACACCCATGGGGCAAAGGAGGGGCAAGCTGGCTCCAGGTCTGTTGACCCACAGTATCAACTAGTAATACCTTAGGTGCCTTAGTATGGAGCACAGCTACCTATGTAACTGGGACCATGGGGGCATTACTGCTAGTAATTTACCTTGGTTGACTCCAACAACTGTACTTTACCAGGGTATTCGATTCTCGCAACCCATTTTGCATTATTACTATAGAAAAAATAGGATGGACAGGATAGATGAGGAACAAGCCCGACAGATTGTGATTGCAATCCTCCTGTCTGATATGCGTTCTAAAAACACTCCCGCGTCTTTTTGACTGATCTAAATATAACTCTTATGGTGGTCTTCGCTCCTACTGACCATCATCACCACTATCAATCGGATGCTGGGAAGTGGAGTTGAGCCAGCTAAATGATGATCAATGTATTTTATGCTGCAAATTCCGATAGTGAAAGGATCAATGATGACTGAGATGTAGATGGTCTGGTAGCGTATTATTCCGCACTGTTGATATTCTCTCTCAGATACTTCTTTACTTCATCATACCAATGTAACCATAGAACCCCGCTATCTTTCTGCCGCGGGGTAGATGCTTATTACTATTTCCAGAGTAATTGTACGATAGTTATTATGAGTGGACTCCACACAATGTTATGGACAACTGGGAGATTATAAAAGACTACCATGTGGGGTGGCATGGACTCAACAAGGTAGCATCTGATATACTACATTGTTTGATAATGGAAACCATACCCTGAGTCTGCGCACGCAGTGTCCAACAACACATATGAGATGATTGCTCAACCCACCCTACCCCACCCGACAGTTAAACATCAACAGCAGATTCTTTACTCGAAACAGGGACACCATTGACAGGAATACGATCTATCACAAAATGACGGGCTCAACCTCTTACCTCGACGCGCTTCAACGGGATGGCTTCGTCGTCATCCCCTCCCTCCTCACCCCAGAAGAAGTCGAGCACTTCCGCGCCATCGCTACAAAAGCAACAACCCTCACCCGGAACGGCCACTGGCCTCACTTCCGCACCGTTCCCAAGCAGTTCCCGCCCTGGCCCAAAACGCCGCCTCCCGCTTCCGAGGGCGGCATCTGGGGCGTGCAGCACCTCCTGCACCCACAGATGCCCGACCGCACCGAATTCGCTCGGTTCTATTTCTCCGAGAAGGTGCTAGCGGTGGCGGAGGAGCTGCTCGGAGTTAAGGGCACAGGGTCGTCACCCCCACCGAACGACGCTACCGAGCCGCTGGTGATGGAACTGTTCAATTTGCTTGTTGCGCCGGAAACGAAGGACTTCGAGCTCCGCTGGCACCGCGATGATATTCCTGAGACGGTATCGCCGGAGGAGGAGATGCGGTTGCTGCAGGCGAAGAGCCCGCAGGGCCGGCAGTCGCATGCGCAGTATAATCTGGCGCTGTGTCCGGATTCCTCACTGATTGTGGTCCCCGGGTCGCATCGGCGGGTGCGCACGGAGACGGAGCGCAGTGACGGGCCGTATGAGCCTGAGTTGCCGGGTCAGTTGGTGGTGGAGCTTCGGCCCGGGGATGCGGTTTTCTATGATAGTAATATCCTCCATCGAGGAGTGTACAAGGCGAAGCCCCAGGGGGGTGAGGAAACGAGGCTGACGCTGCATGGGAGCATTGGGTTGAAGGCGTCGGCGTCAGGGTCCGACACGGATGAGAAGGTTCGGGCTACTGCGGTCCTGCAGCACGGTGTTGGTTCGTGGGTTCATCAGGAGGATGCTGCGTTTGACATTGGTGAGCGAGCGGAGAAAATGAGGGCGAGCTTGATAGCGCTCGGGACAGGCGAGGGCGTCGGATATTCTCTACAAGGTTAGAGTCAGTCTGTCGATTTCAGCTACCTTCGAAACCAGATAAACCACCGGAGCATGTCTGGAATCAATCACTCGTGCATCTTACAATGACACAGAGGGTTATCGTATCGTCAACAACTCAATGAACAGATCATGACATCCGGACATAGGAACATAAATTTTTGTCAGACTATACACAATGGAGTCGTAACAATTGTCGTAATCATCATAAGACCGTCATGACCCGTTCGCCGGTCGTTGCCCATACACGTAATGGTACAAAACGTATACATGTATATCGGGGCGCAGCAGATCCTTGCGTACTTTATCCACATATTCCTGCGCATCTTCGCCACTCCAGCCGAGCACGCGAGTAAACAGCGCTAATGTGTACGGCTCTACGGCCTCGTACAATGTGATCTTGCCCACCCTCCCAATCTCTTTCAACCGGGGACTCTTGGGCCATGAGCCCACTGGGCACTACAACCAGTCGTCAGCGATTTCTGAGCCATCATTGAGAAGGTGGAAAAGATAAGAATACCTTATAAGAATCATCCGCGACATTTACAAACCCCACTTCCTCCATCCACCCTGCCAACCTCGACGCAACATTCATCGGCCTGCCAAACTGCGTACTCGCCGCATCAATCTTCTGCTGCCAGTCCAGCAGCATAGGCGCGCGCTGAATCGTCCCGTCATCCGAGCGGATCCACGTCTCATACTCCTGGATCTCAACCCACCCGCCGGGCTTCGTATGCCTGTACGCCTGGCGAAGGAACTGGTTCCAATCGCCAATGCCCCCGCCTAGACTCCGAGCATGGATGTAATCGAACGCCTCGGCAGGCGTGTACGTCCAATCGCTCTCCGCATCGTCGACGTTGAACGTACAGTTGGGCGGCGCCCAGTTCGGCTGGATGGGACTCAGATCCGTCCCCACGATCTCTGCGTCCGGGAAGTCATCGGCCATCTCCAGCGCCCAGATGCCTGTTCCTGTGCCTACGTCGAGGATACGCTTCGGTGGCCCGTCATTGAGGATCGGGGCGCGGTAGAGATCGCCGCCCACGAGCAGTTTGAAGAGATGATGCATGAAGGCTAGCCGGTCTTGTTCTTCCTCGTCGTTGGGCATTGGGTAGTGGCCCAGTCGGTAGGCGTGGTATCGGCGGCCATTCTCGTAGAGGTAGTCACGGGCTGTGGAGGCAAGACTGAAATTCGAGTCAATGATGGATTGAGCGTCACATAGTGAGTCTTCGTCGCTCGTCTGGTGGTGAATGGTTAGTTTCAGCCCAAAGTTTGGGGGGTTGATGAGGGGAAATCCGTGATGGAGGAGGGGTAATTGATACAATGCTCGCAACATGAACAGCAGCAGAACGATAGAAGAATAAAGTTTCCAGTGAGACGAAAAATTAGACATCATTATGAATTTCCTTTGATGTGGAAAAAAAGCAGGCTATTGCCGACAAAAGAATTGACAGCCATGGTACATTTGCATACAACAGCCCGTTGGCCGCAAATACAGGCAAATGTCTTCTTCCGGGGAAAGCAAAACAAGCAGACGGGGCAGGTGAGAACAAAGTAAAAGACAGGGACATGAGAACAAGGAGAGTGGTATCTTACATCGACTAGGATATGCTCATCTAGATTCGGACGCGACATCTCTAGGATAATTATGACGAAACTTCGGTCAAGTAGAGAGGTATGAAAGAAAGGAAATCTATGAGAACGGAAAGGAGACCAGAATGAAAACGAATGCTAGACTTCAGTAGAGGGTGGACACGGGTCCAGTTAAATATGGAGGCCAATTCAAATAATGATCGATCGAGATAGCAACAATAATTACGGAGCAGAGAGTGAGGTGACATCCGCCAGATTGGATGGAGCTCCTCATGGAGGGCGATCCAAAGACGAGAAAACAGCAGGACCTATGAGAACACAGTAAGGAAAGCGAACCGCAAATCATAACCGAAGAAGCTAATTAGTATTGATATGGTTCAAATTCACATGTAGATAGGTACCTTAGTCCCAAGTTTCTAAACGACGTCGCCAAACGCAAAAATGCTGCAGGGGGTTCCAGTCCCGAGGATGAGGACGATGGGTTTCCAATTGCGGTTTGGGCGGTGTGCTGTTGGGACTGTTAGGCGTCCGTTAGACTCTCCGGAGAGCCAGCACTGTGGTTCTGGGAACGGGCAATGCGCTCTGTATGGACGGATGGTTTTGACGAAGTGTGGCCTAGTCGCCTATTCAGGCTTAACTCATTCTGCAGAAGCCAAACGTTGGTCATGGCGTAGCTTACTGACGGAGTACAGAGTTCACATGTACCCTCTACGCAGTGCCCTGGGTCTAATTTAGTTTTCTGAGGTCTGAGTCATTGACTGTTGTACCACCTCTCAAACATCAAGACAGCTTAATGCAATCGTCCTAATGCCGTCTCTCTTCATCTTTGAACACAGAACACAGAACACGGAATACATGGCTGAAACGTATTAGATACTACTTGGTAATCAGGCAGTAAGCTGGAGTGCACTGTCCCGTTCCCAATCCCAAAGTCGTAACCAAACCTAAAGCCCCGCACGGCTGGAGCCGATCTGGGCCGAGATACCCAATCAGATTTCCTCACTGGAGGCGATCAGCCAATTTGTCGGGTCGGAGTTGCGGACTTACAGTAGTAGTACCCCCTATGATGGGTCATTCGCCAAGTGGGTTCTCACAGCACACAGTATCTATCCACTATCTAGATATTATCTTGTCTATGTATGGAACCGGCAAGTTAGGAACTCACACCGAATACGGACTACCTCTAACTGATACATTGATGCATTCTGGATGTGAGCGAACGGCCAGCACACTTCCACCACTACCATGTCCAGCACGATCAACAAGGCTAAGTGGAAATTAGACACTCTTGCTTGGCCTGATTGGCAGCCAGCACGGAAGCTTTGTTCCGTGTAGCCTGGCCGACTTCTAGAAGGACATGATGGGCATGTGCATGCGTTCTTGGTATGGCGGATTTCCTGACCACAGATATTTGGAGACGATTATATCCGTGGATTTGCTTCTGATGTACCTAGTACAGTTGCAATCAATTGCTGAAAACCTTCAACGGAGCGTCACCGTTGCCCTAATATATGTCTGTAGCTCCATCTCTCTCCCTACCCCCACTTTCAGGTTGCTCCCAGGGACGCCGAGAATGCAAAATATATTAATCCTGCGCTAAGCCAAACCAAAACAAAACAGCAAAAGTATTTGCATGCAGGTGCCTACTGCTTCTTCCCAGCACTTAGCAGCCGTACAATGCCACTGCCACTGCTACTGCATCCCTTCCTGCTTGTACGCCATGCATCTCGACGTCCTAGTTCCAGAAAGAACAAAAACTGCTTCTGGAACGCAGTACGCGTGCCACATGGTTATCTAATGTATACACGTATCTGCAATGGATTTACCACATAAAACGCTCATACTATATAACCTATAATAACCGGACGAAAAGCCGGTGCTTTTTGGCTGTGCTACGGGTCTATTCAGTAGCAGCTACATACATAACGTCGTCAGGTCTGGTCAAGAAGTCCTCGAGAATCTCGACCGTATTATGTTGGAATAAAGAGATAGACAAGGTAAAAAGAAATGTCATCTAATCAGCCCAAGCTGCGGAGTTTCTCCTGTTCGTCGGGAGTTAGCGCGGCGAACAATTGCTCGAACCCGGGCTTAGTGGACGCATTGTGGAAGAAGTCCAGCAAGAATGCCTGAGTCTCGTCATCCCGCTTGCGCACGCCAAACACCCCTTCAGAGCCACCTTCGCCAAAGGCCATGAGCTCTTGCTTGGTGACACCCAGGCTGAGATCCAGTGTATTGCTGGGAATGTCTTCCCATTCACCATCGTCGTCGCTGTCCTCTTCCTCTAGAGCGGCCGCGGTAGCTGCATCAATCTCCTTGCTGCCGGATGCAGCGACCAGCTCCTCGACGAGCACTTTGATAATTTTCAACGGAGCCGTCACCGTCGTGTAACGGTCTGGGTTGTTGCGGGTCTGCGACCGGGTCTTGATGCGACCCGTGTCCTGAATGATGAGGTCGCCTTTAACTTGCACTTGAGCCAGGCGGGGGTCCTCGAGGTTGTACAGTGTAGCCAGCGCAATGATGTTCTGCTTAATCTCGTCGTATCCAGCGAAGTTAACCGAGTTCTCGAGCCATTTGCTCAAAACAATCGGCAGTCCGCTCTGACCACTAATATCGACTTGCGCCAGGAAGTCAACCACTTCGCGAGCGTTTATCAGAGTCAGCCGGGCGAAAACAAGGATCAGACTCTGAATAAACTGTGCCTGTTGAGCTGTGGCAAGACGCTGAGCTACAGCCCGGAGCAGCTGTGGCAGATAAGGCCCAAGTCTCGCGGCTCCAGCTCTTTCGACCAGCTCGGCTGCCAGCTGTCCCACCTCAGTTGCGGCGTTATCGTCGACCGACGGGCCCAGCAACCGATCAATGATTATCAGCGCAACCTCAACCGCTTCCTTGCCAGTCTGGGGATCGCGCCAGGCCACGAACTGATCAAAGTCACGTGAAAGAATGTGCCGAACGGCTTCCGTGGCAGGGCGAATTAGCTCAGCATCGTAAGAGTCCAACAGCAACCTGTTAAGCTTGGGCATGACAGTCGCTACAAATCCGGCAGGTAAAGGCTGGAGGGCTCCTTCAGTCAACGCGCGCAGGAGATCAGCCGCAAAGTTCGTGAGAGCATTCTCCTGAGTGAGGTTTCCCACGTCAATCGCACCCGTGAGCGAAGGAAGCACTTTTTCACAAAGGCGGATGAAAGAATCGGCTCCCTGTTCGGAGATAGACTGTACGATGTCCTCGAACGCCTCGGTAACGATCATTGTCAGCTGGAAATTCGTAGCCCCATTGCTGGCTATATTGAACAGGGCATCAATGGCAATAGATGACAAGACCACACTTGGATTAACCATGATAGTATCGCGGATCGCCTCCGCTAAAGTGACCTTGAGGTCGTCGCTCTCGGATGGCTCCTGAAGGTCGTGCGCTGCGATGAACTCCGACAGGGCATTGATAACGGGAACCTGAAGTGGGACTGTAGTGCTTGCAGGAAGAGAAGCCATAAGATCCTGAAGGGCCCGAATGCAGGATACCTTGACCACTTCCGAGGGGTCTTCAGCGATCGCCTTGAGGGTCGCTTCGAAGTAGGAGATAGCGGTAGGCTGGAAAGCGTCGCTCGCAACTTGAGCCAAGACGCCTGCCACAAGGTAACCACGAGCTCGCAGGAATTCTTCTTCTTGCTGGATAGCGAACGTAACGAAATTGTGAAACCTACTTGCCAAGTCGGAAGATACCTGCTGCGAAACTTCGTTGAAGTCTCGCAGTAACTGGTTGAGAATGAACAAAGCTGATTCACGAGATTTCCATCTGCCAGAATTAAGTTAGTGGATTTTAAGCTTAGAAGTAAGTGTGACTGGAATGCTTACGTCGACGTTGAGTCGGCAAAAAGATTATTCATGTAGGCGAGGAGACCTTCAACAGTTGTGACCTTGAGCCATTCTCCCAGTTTAATGACCAAGTCTCCACTGCAGGTTCGGGGCGTGTAATTGGCAGTGACAGAGGTCTCTTCCGATAGAAAGAGATTCACGTCAATGTCCCACAGTCCTTCCTCCTCAGTCGTAATCTGGGCGTATAAACTGGCCAGCTTCAAGATCTCTGGAAGCCAACTGGCGGTTGCTGCAGCCTGACCAGCGTTCTGCAACTGCTGCTGGAGTTCAGCTTTGACTGGTGGTGCCTTTAGAAGCGCTTGAATTAGATCAAGCTCTTCCAGCACAAGAAAGTCCAGCGTGTAAGGGAGTCCGTCAACATCTTCTAAGCGGCCCTGTCGTTCGTCATGGATATAGAACTCGTGGTAAGCAGACTGAATGTTGGAAAGCTCTGTCCAGACAGTCGAAAAGTAGACCGGGCTTTGAGCTGTCATGAGGCCGGGAAAGACCATTCGAATCTTCATAAGCGTCTGATAGTGAAGAATTATGCCGTCAGTACGAGCTGAAAATAATAAGTTATTGAGACAGCCTACCTTGACCACCTGCAATTTCAGTCCAATTATACCCCTCCATTGAGAAGGGATCTCACCCTCTTTGGACTCCTCTTGCTCACTGGGGGCCTGTGGCAAGGGAGCCTTCAGAGTCTCAATGAAGAATGGGGACCAGCCGCTCAGCACCTCATCCATAAACTGCTTGACTGCCACCTTGTGCTGCTCAAGCACCATCTCCATGGTATCGAAGCAAGAGCGAAAAACGGCAACGGCCAATGCTCTCAGCATCGGCTTTCTTGACTCACTAGTCGCAATGTTGAAAAGAGTGGTAACGAGGTCGCGGGCAACACCAAAGAACTGCTCCTCACTGAAACCGGTATCGACGAGGTCCAACAGAACCTTCAACGCGCCGTGCAATGCACCCGCACTGCTATCAGCATCGTTGATGACCTGAAGGAGCGACGGGAGAAGCTCTGGCCATTCATCAGGGAAATCAGCGCTGGCAATCTTGCTGACCGCGTAGCTGGCAGACGATTTGACCTTCCGCTCTTGCACATCCGCAGTGGTGGCCAGTTCCAACAGAACACGTCGGATCTGAGTCTTATTGGCGTCGTTGATCAGAACCTGACCCTTGAATTCGTCTAAATTTGGCGACCAAGCGGCGGCGATGAAGGTACGCAGTACAGACAGGGAGGACTGGCGAAGGTTGGTAGGGACGGAGTCGTGAGAGGCTATGGCGGCGAGGGAGAGGGGGAATTGTTCATTGGAATAGAGGCGAAGAAGCTGGAGCTCAGCGGCCTTTCTCGTGTCAGCAGCTGGCGACTGGGTGTCTGCGAGGAGTGTCAAGAGCTGTTGCTCCATGATGGATGGAGTATGAGGGGTAGTGCAAGCTGCCGGAAAAGAATGGTCAATTGAAGTCAAGGCCCCAGAGCAGCTGCCTACAGAGGACACTCCTGCTGATCAATGGCGCCTGCAATTGACCTGTGGTTGAAGTTATCAGTTGATACGACGCGAATGATTATTATTTCTGTCGCGTAGGAGGGGCAGAAGACGGTGGAAGCACAGAACGCAAAGGGGAGGCGGTGAGTAATTCAATCATTATACCGTCTAAAGGTAACTGCAAATATTTGAAATTTCGCTGGCTCCATACACCACGGTAATGCGCAATGGAGAAAGACAATGGCAACCCTCAAATCTCCGACGCCACTGTTGCTCTCTCTGGCGGGTAGAAGTAGGCTTTAAGGATCTAGTCCTTGGTATAATATAGAGCGCCTGCTCTCTACAACTTTAAGATGATCTTCTTTGTCCTTGCTGCAGTCCAAGAGCCAGAAGTAGAGAAGTACACCTCTGCCATTTCATTCTATTACCTGTAATCTATTGTGGAGAAGGATCTACTGTGGACCGAAGCGCTACTACTCGTACTACTTGCCTTATTTCCTTTCCCCCAAGTGCTATGGACCTTAACTCCATACATACTGTTGTCCCAGCAGCAATATGCCAACACATATATTTCAACGGAGAAGCTCATTCCCTAGAACTAAAACACTTGCACAGAGTGATCACTTACGAACATGGGTTAGCAGGCCTGTGACGGGGAGTATTGTGCAAAATTCCTTATATACTGGGATACACATTGACAGAATAGTGCTGTGGGACTCAGCAAGATATTGAAGATATTGCAATGGAAAAATCAGAAACCAAAAATAAAAATAATATTACTATCAGACAGAGAGCCCTGGAAACAGAGACGCTGATCATTAGTGGGGCTCTTGGCAAATTAATCCAGTTATCTACTGCCGTAGGTACGGTGAATTGTCATGTGTGGAGACAGTTGTACTTCTTACACAGCTTTCAGAACACCAGAGAGGCGGCAGAAGGCAGACAAAGCCATAACAAGAGTACTTAGGACACAGAAGATGGAGAATAACAGTAAATAAGCTTAAAGCGCAGAAATCATAAAATTTATGAGAGATACAGGACGGCACATTCTTTGAAGGTAGGACAGACAGGAAACCCGGACAGAAAGCCCAAGGTCTTACTGATCATAAGGTAAGGTACCTAATGCCAGGTACTGCACAGATCGCCATAAAACAATGCCCAATCTTACCGGAGCAGTAGTAGGTATCTATCCTTGGCCAAGCAAAGAACACCCAAATGACGCGGAAAAGATTAGCCATTATTAGTACTTTTTTCTTCCGTAGCCGCCACAGTGCTAGGATCAGAGGCTGACGGGCCAAAGAAAAGAGAGCTAAAGAATTTAAGCAACATCATACATACATGCCATGACGTAGGAGGATATTGATGACATGCCAAAGCCCAGAGGACCCCTGTCGTTGGACTCGCTGTTGTGAACCTCAAGTGAAGCAACTCGGAGGACTCCATCTTCGTATAAAGAGATGAGCCTCTGGACAGAAGGATGCAGTTGAATATCGATCGCGCCTAGGAAGCAGTGGTGACATCTCATTTCGAAAGTCCTTGTTCTTCTGCTGTCATTCCAACTTTCAAATTTCGTGATGGTACTTACTGCGGGATTACTAATGTCCTGATCTTTTTGCTTTGCTTCAACAGAGGTGATCGGCCATAGTCGCCATGGAGGCCATACTGTGTACCAACCAGAGCGTCTTGAGCGGTTGAGCCACCCAATACTTGATTATTGTGGAGAATGAAAGAGTTTTTGACATGAGAACTTCGAGAGCAGCACTGGATGGATCATGGGTACTGTCTTCAATGCTGACCCCAATACAGTATACGAGTGCTAATGGACAAGGTTAATTATTGACCATATGAACGGGGATGGTTCTCCTGCCGACCTTCCCATGGGACTGTGAGATTTGGGTCAGGAGCTCTTCTCTCAGCTTGAGTCATATGTCTTCAGCTAATTCCTGCCCATAGTCAAGTACGTACGAGTAGTAACTCCTGTTCAAACTGTTCTGCAGGGCACCCACTCCCATGACGCAACCACGTGATGGCTTGGGGTAGTTGACCTTCCGCGCCTTTTCCCCTCCAGAATGCTTGCCTACCACTTTTTCCCTTCTTTTCTGTTGACTTGATTTCTCGCCTCGCCTTCTTCTTTTACCACTCTCGCTTGTGTGGCGCATATAAGCTTGCATTAATATTGGGTCTGAGCTGCTCAGATCGACTTGATTCCGACACATCCTGTGAGCAGCAGCAGCCCACATACTCTCTCTCTCCTCTATCGCACAAAGGGTCTCTCCAAGTCATCCACCCAACGGATCTATCCACCTTCGAACGGGTACAAGAGGACCCCTTGTTTGCTCTTTCTAGAAAGCCCAGATTCAATTTGTGCATAATACTCCTTTCCAAGTATCTTTGAAGTTTTTCAGCAAGCAAGAACTAGTGGGGGTACAGGGTAAACTGAACCTGAAAACAACAGCAAAAAACCAGGAACTACAAAAAGAAGCATTCCCGTACCTTAAAACAAAGCGAAACAAGACAGAAACGCTTTTTTTGAGTACTCTCATTATTATCGAACGACTACTTATATCTCTTTGATTTCCTTATTTTCTCCCTTGTGTGGTCATAATCATTTTTCTATTTTGATTGATATCTTTCGACCCTTTCCATTCGACTATCACGATATCGACGAGTCCATTAGTACATGCCAATGTTTTGAGGTTTCTTTGCATGTCCCTTGTCTTCGAAATTGTTGTCTGTATGTAAGTATCAAACACCCCATTGAAATACCTAATTTGTACTCCGTACCTTGTTCAGGTTCCGTACTATTCCCGCCCCTCCCCTCCATGTCATCCACATCTTTCTTCCACTAAAATACAGACTAAAAAAGACCTCTTCTTTTCGTTACAATTACTTACTACTTACCTCTCTACTCATGTTCATTTTCTTAACTCCTCACCTGCTCCTTCTCGGTCATCCACATTCTCTGCTTCCCAATCTTTACCTTCAGACCTAACCTAACCACCAACCACCAACCACCACCACCAAGCCCCCCTCCTCCTCCTCCCCGCCTCCATCCCCTCCTCAACACTTCAATATCATACAACACGTTGATTCTCTTCTCCTTTGTCTTGTCTCAAAAATTTGTATTCTATTGTAGACGGTCTTGCTTTTTCTTGCGTTCATATCTTCAGTTTTTTGGCTTTCTTTCCTTCTCGATATCACATCATCCCCACCCGTCCTTTGTCGCGACAACTCGAAATCGGCAGCTCTATACGTCATCTCCCATGTTTTGGCAAGAGAAATAGTGGTTGACACATTGTCTGAACTCAAGGCAGAGCGATGATTAGCTTCAGGGTGGAACAACACTCAGAATCGAGATACCGTCAGCTTCATCTTTCCCGTGGAAACGACGATACCAGAGCTTTCGACGGCAATGCCGATAGCCAGTGAGAGCAGTACCGCGACTACCACCATGACCACCTTCTCCGCCCCGGTCACCGTGCCCATGTCGATGCCAAACAATCAATCTGCGTTGGCGGCATCCTTCACAAACTTTCTCACCGTGTCAATTCACCAAATCCTCTTTCTTCGTTCGGTCTATCCGCGAGCAACATTTTTACCGGTCCGGGCCTACAACTACCCTGTGCGACAATCCCGTCACCCAAAGGTGTGTGACTACATCAATGATGCGTCAATTGCGGTCGGGACGGAGATTTTGAAAGGCACTATTACCGCTGTCAGTATCATCATTTCATCTCTCCGCACAAATCAGCCCCTCGAACGATATGCCTTTGATCTGTCGGGGTTCCCTCGTGTTTCCGCCGGAGATGTCAACACAACATTTGAAGACAGAAAAGAAGATTCATCCAAGCCAGGTGTCCCCGTTGCCGATCGGGGTTCCGCTCCTATAAGTGTCGACCTCGAAGCGCAGTTCCGTGCTTGCCTCGCGAGACTGGCCTCTGCTTGCGCCCGGTTGACCCCGTTGCCTCGAGATGACGAGTTCAGCTTTACCGTCTGTATCGAAGTTCGGGAGGATGCATTACCTCCGGCTGGTACCACAAAGGAAGAACAGACCTGGATTGTTGCCGAACCCGGGAAGATTCACCTGAGGTCGTGTACTGCGCCCTACTCTGTTTCCAAATCGAAAAACGGCGAGCTGCATCAACCTCCCCCCAGAGTGTCGAATGGTCGGGCCAAAACGGTACCCGTACGACGTGTAGAAGCTGGCGAGCTTCGCTTGGAACTATGGGTGGAAGAGGCGCGACAGAAGTTTAATGAACCAGTGGATTCCGAACATCCTCCATGAATTGCATTGCCTGTCTCTTGATGCTTTAATCAGTCTGTCTGCTTAGGGTTCTCTGTCTCATTCCTTACCCTTGCGCTCACTGTTCTCCATCTGTGATCCTTTTCTTGTCTCTTTCCTTTTCATTTCATTCTTGAATTAGCGTGACCAATGATCGAACATACATGATGGATGAGGCACAAATATCTGTCGTCTGAAAAGATTGGCGCAAGTACATATAAATGGGGCGCGGACGATTTTTGGGACTCGCATGGCATTTTACATAGAACTGCTCAAATATCTCATTTCTCCACTGTGCTCTCCCATTTCTCATTATCTTTCCTCGTTTTCTCGCCGTCTCGCCCTGTCGTCTTTTGACTCTTTTTCTCACATCATTTTCCCTCCTTGATCACGTTTTACTTTTTCCTTCATATCATTGTCTCGACCTTCCATACCATTTTCTTTCTGTACTTCTCTCATCTCTTGCGTGGAGTTGCATTATCATATGATCCTAGCCAATACAAATATGAAGCAAAATAGTAAAATGTTGCTAGCAACGCCGCCACGATCTACAGGTCAACCAAGTGCAGGTGTACGGATACGGGCCAATCTACCGAGTCTTCGGGTATAAAGTAATTTAGTTACCTGATTACATGGGGCGCTGATACTATTGTTTGAACTCTACACAACAGAGTTATGAAGTGGTAAAGATTCTCATCATTATCTGACATTTTTCACATAGTACGCTGGTTTCCATCGACTGGGGGAACAAAGCAGTATGGCCAGGGGATACTAATCAGATCGCTGTGCTTGGAGGTAGTAGCTAAGAACAGAACAAGACGAGGGAAAACACCGTGCAGCTGGTAAAAGTAGACGTAGGCAGGCAAGTGCAAAGAGGGTATAGAACAGTTTTTTAAGGCGAGTCGATTGGAAAATCACAAGCTGTGTAGGAAATGAAGCGTACGGATTCTAGAACAGGAAGGTAGGAGCCACAAAAACCAGCGGGGCGTTGAGCTGTGAGCGCGTAGGCGCTTATCGCCGTCTCTTGAGATCGTTTTGTTGAATTTGGATTTTCTCGAAGAACAACCGTGACTAGGTCAAGTTTTCCCCAAGAAAGATGAGTCCTTGGAAGGGGGCCGGATGCTCAGAAAAAAGGATAGAAGTCGTTTCTATAAGCAGGTAGTGGCTGCTGTCCAATGTATTGGTTGCCGTACGGATCCGCGTTCAGGTGATGCGGAGCAGGAGGCATGATGCCTTGCTGGGCAGGTGCAAGCATCGGAGCTGGAAAGTATTGATTATAGGGAGCGTATCCAGCGGGCTGATTCTGATTCATTCGCACTGGATCGTCAACGAGGAAAGGATCATTGCGCAGACCAGTTCCCGCCGGTTGTCCAGCACCGGGTACGTTGGCTGCCAAACCTGCTCCTGCGGGAGCACGACGCTCACCGGGAGCGTCAAGACGTTGAGGTTGGCCGGCCGGAGGTGGGTTGTTAATCGCATTCGGCATGTCGTGATGTCCAAACGCAGGAAACTGTATAGCATCCAAGAATCCCTGGAATTCGTCGATGGCCTGCGCGAAGGGATCATTCGGTCGCTCCAAGGCACGCTGTTGATTTGCTGCGAGCCGAGCTTGGCGCTGAGCTTGCATAAGAACATTGAAGGCCGGGTCTTGATGTAAGTGGTAAGGAGCCCTCAACCGATCCCTTCTCTGATTTGTGTTATTCGCCTCCGGAAGTTTCACCTGGAGTTCCTCATGGGTGAGGCCGGGGTTCTCTGCCCGAATCTCCTCGATTGTCTTCTTCTGTGCTTGTTCGATCTCCTTCTGGTCACGCCTGGGATCATCATCGACGGTACAGGCGTTGGGACCATAGCCGAAATGCGCGTATTGTTCACGGGTAATGTCTTTCTTGCACAAATAACACATGCAGCACCTGCAACTCGGGCATGTCATTTTGTTACAACCAAACTCCTTGACGATTTTGACTTTGCACCGAGGGCAATTACGAATCAGAGCCTCACTCATGGCTTCTTCGACCAGGTGGCGCTCAGAGATGCCCTTGTCTTTTTTCGCTTCTTCACACGTTTTGGGTACGTGGGTGACATCCTTGCATAACCGGCAGCTGACCACCTCACATGAAGGGTTGCAGCAACGGAACTCTCGATCTTCTTCAACTGGAGGGCAGATGGCCTTGAATTCGCAGAATGGACAGCTTTCCAGCCCTTCAATGCTGGCACGAGAGATCTCGTCTTGCTGTTGGAGAGCATCCAATTTTGCCATCATCGAAGATCCAAGCACCTCCTTTATCTCGGAGCGGGGAAAGCCAGCCTTACAACCGCTAGTGTCAAAGCATTGAAGCTGGTACTTCATGAGGCCAATCTGTGTTTCTGCAGACTTGCGGATGCAGGAGAAGCAGAAGAAATGAACATTCTCTCCTTCGCATGTTATGGCTCGGTTTGGAGGGACATCAGAATAGCAGCATTGGCATTCTACTAGAGTTCCTGCTCGGGCGTGCTGCTCTTGGTTCCTTCTCTCGGCTTCTTCTTGCCTTTTTTGATCGTGAATGAGCTCTGTATGCACTGGTCACCAAAAGCGAATCTTATGCTGACATTGACAGAAAGGCTTACCGGCATCCTTGGCAAGCTTTAGCTTGGCATCTTTCACTTCCATCTGCAACTCTCCATAGGCCGGATGATTGTATATGTCCAAGCGTATATCCCTGTGTCTGCGAACTCTTGCCCGTTTCAATTTCTCGTAAGGTCGCCGAGTAGGTGGAGGCGCATTTTCTGCAGTTGACAGAGCTTGGCAAGCTGAAAACAGATTCTTCTTCTCCCTGAGCATCTGGCGGATGTAATAATCTGGTACAAAGGGGAACATGTCTCCGAGTAAGTATGTCCTAGAGCAACGTTATGAGCTTTGGAACGGGTCTCATATGCCGAAGAAGTCACAAGAGAATACTTACGCGGCTTCTTGATACCAAAACTCCCCGTCGTGATTTATAGATGTCCACTTCTTAACTTTGTCATCGCCTTTGGCCTCTTCTCTCTTCCTCTTCAGCTGTTTGCGCTTGGGATATGATGGGTTGGCCAGGATTTCCTCGACCACCATCTCCTTGGTGGCCACCAATTTTTCAGAGGTCACATTCGCTTCAGCGTGAGACATGTTGCCCGGATAGCGAGATAGAAGACCTTTCAGATACTCGTGGCAGATATCTGGAAAAAGCTCCATAATCTGGACCGACAATGCGGCAGTATCATTGGGGTATTGACAGGGAGCGGCCGCCATGAGTGTGACAGGCGCAGCTGTTGTTGGAGTTGACATAGCACCTGGTGCTGGAAGGAATGGCTCGTCAGTCAAGTCAATGAAATCGGCGATCTCATCACGATTGGCAGCTGTCCTCTTCGCAGGTCTAGCGTCCTCGTCTAACCAGTCAGAGTCCCAGTCATAGTTCTGTACATCGGAGCCCCAGGAGGAATCGCTGTCAAGCTCTTCCAACCCTGATTCGCTTTGGATGTCATTGTCGAGGGCATAGTTGTCTTCAGCGTCTGCGGCAATCGAGCCCATGGAGATCTGGGCCATCTTGGCTCAACAAAAAGAGGCAAGGAGCAATCGAAGTTTAAACAATACAGCTGGAAGATAGATAAGGAGTTTTCTACCTTGTAAGTACTTGCAGAATGTGCGTAGACAGAGATGTGAAAGTGTGAAACGAAGGTAGAGAAGGTAATTGGGAAGAGATCTTCTGTCGAAGCGAGGGTACGGAGAGAGATGGAGGAAGAGAGAGAGGAGGGCATGAACACCGGAAGTTTTCCAATAAAGATGGGGGCTGGTCTGAAGGCTGGAAGAAAGACGTCAACAACAGATGTGAGCTGGTTTTCCCACGTTTCATGAGGCCTATGATGGAGGCTGGTAGAAATCAGGACGCTGAAGTGAATATCATCGACCTCCGCGAAACCGGGCAGCCCTGCGAACTAATTATTATTCATGCTTGAATGACCATAACAGTGACCTATACGAAATAATATGGAGATAGGAGAGAATAGATGCCAAAAAAGTCCAAAAGGAACAATAGAGCACTTGGACTTTCTATCAATGGAGATGTGGAGAGTTGATAATCCTGAGGCACCAAGGAAAGCCAGCACCTACTGTGTTAGAACTCCAGTTTCAAGGGATCATCATCATTTAACTTCGAGACGAAGACCCAGTATTCTTCAAGTTGATGCGCATTGACTATTGCCAAAATTTCTAAGCTAGAATTCTGCTGTCTGCCCTGTAACATCGAATGATGCGCTTCGATTCGATATTGAGGATATGATCAAGCCTGGTGCAAACAATCTCGCTGGTGGGGCTAAGGCTCGACGGAAGATGGACTTGACTTCTGCATCACGTACAAGGCTCCATGAAGATCCTCCGGATAACCAAAAGCAAGGCGAATAGCCTAGTGCCGTCAATATGAAGAGACTTCACAAGACAGGGCCTGTATCTTTAAGGAACGAACAACAAACTCCACCAAAAGTAAGGCAACCCGCCCCACGTGATTCAATGCGGCAGTATGAGACCGCCTGTCACCTGGTCTAATCCTGTGCGAGACACCGACCATGATGGAACTATGAACGTAAAGGTTCTCCTCTGGTAGAGATCAGGATCTTAAATGTCAAAAAGTTTCACATTCCCCTTTCAATACAAACATTTAAGTATCTGTCGAATGGATCCACGGCTCGAAGCTGGATTCGTGTTCTGGTCGAGACCTTATTTGGTCTTCCCAATGAGGTCTAGCGGAGTCTTGACCTCGGTTCGATCTCCCAGGGAAGCTAGTCCGATTAGGAATAGTGTCGTCATTGACAGCTTCCCTCGCGAGTCCCTTGGGGTTCGGCTCGACTACATTTTCTTCATTGTTATGTCATTTGAAGACTCCGAGAGTTTGAAGAATGCTAGCAAACATAACTCTGAACAGTACTCCTGGTTCATGAGGAGTAAGATGATACCTGAATGATAGGCTGTGCATGTTTCACGATCAAGGGCGTGTGACTAGGACAAAGACGAACTAGCGCTGGTCATCAGACCCAGTCCTACCCTGTGCCCTAACCTACATAGGCTACATTGTCCTCTATGGACTGGTACATAGGGGGTTACGGAGAATGCTCTCCGCATTTCCCCCGTTCCGCTCTAAAGGCCCCCATACGTCATGACCAGGACAGGCAGGTACAGCCTCCAACTGGAGTGCTTATCGCTTGCCATCGCTTGCCATCGGGATCATGACAAATGGAAATAACATCCATGGGAATGTAGGACAATGGCCGCTCATTATATCACCCCCCCAGACCGGCCCGGTGCGTAGATTTCGCCCTCGTTGGCATTGTCTTCCAAACTACTTCAATCGCGTCTGGTCGTCTATCTTATCAGTAACTAGTGCATGGGCTTACGATAACGGACTGAATGAGTCATTACCTTAAAGAAGAACTGATAGAATTCTGTTCGGTACCGGGCTCGGACACACTTGGGTCTTTTCAATTAATCGCCGTTTGACACAATGATTGCCGCTGACCCCACGGAGTTGCCGCCAGGAGACTCGCCTGAGTTGGTTCTCGTCCCTGCCACACCAGAGGAACGGATCAAGTCCATCAAGCTCAACAGTGCGGCATGGAAGGGCCGTTTAGACGTGGAGACGTACATCGCAAGAGAGAACCATTTGTATCAGCAGCGATTGACCAAGGATGCCTTGACCTGCTGGCTTTTGGTTGACCGTAGGGAGCCAGAAGGCCAGCGGACGATCTTGAGTTCTTGTGAGACATACAAGAAGAAGGCTTTGCTTGCTCACCATGGCAAGGTGGAAGATGTTGCTACCCACGGGGTGGGGAGCGTCTATTGTCGACCTGAACACAGAGGCAAAGGTTACGCCAAGAGAATGATGCAGGAATTGTGCACGAAGCTGGAGACGTGGGAAATGGAAAACGAGCCGAGAAGTAGATCACTCTTCAGTGTGCTGTTTTCGGATATCGGAAAGAACTTTTATGCGCAATTTGGGTGGAAGCCGTTTCCTTCTTCGCACATCTCTCTTCCACCTATCTCCAAGGAAGAATATGACCGGTCCTCACGGGCCAATCTACCAAAGGCGAGAACCTTGGTTGCCGATGACGTTCGCAACTGTATGTGTAGCGACCAAGTCCTACAGAAAGAACGGGAATCCCTACGTGCCGCCTCTGAGAAAACCCCCATCGCCCACGTAGCAATCCTTCCGGACTTTGACCATTTCGTTTGGCACTGGGCGAGGGAAGAATTCTATGCAGAGAAGCTTCATGGCGACAGAGCCCCGCCGCTAATCAAGGGCGCTGGTGAGGACAAAGCAAAAGTGTACTGTGCATGGAACAGGAACTTTGGCGAGTCACCCCGGGACAACACTCTGTTCATTTTGCGATGGGTGTATGATGAACCGACCACGCCAGAGGAGACAGAAGCGACAGCAAAGGCCATGGCTGCTATCCTGAGGAGGGCCCAACTTGAGGCCCACGAATGGGATATGGCAAAGGTCGATTGCTGGAATCCAACTCCGCTGTTGCAGAAGGCAGTTGCCATGCTAGATTCCCCAGCAGAGCTGATTCACCGAGAGAAACGCAGCATCGCCAGCTTGAGGTGGACAGGCGCCGCACAAGGTCTAGGCGAAGAGGTCGAATGGCTCTGGAACGAGAAGTATGCCTGGTGCTGAAGGATGTTGGCTTCTACCACGTTTCATGTTTTCGTTCCGGGTGGTCATCGTTTTCTTCGAGAGGAATCCCGCTAGAGATAGACCCTGATACAACTTGACAGGTACACGAGAGATGTCAATGGAACATAGAATTTGTCTTCAATTTCTCTGTCGTTTTTGGTTTCTGAACAGTTCATGCCAGTTTCGTGACTTTTTGGCCGCCGTGGCAGTATTGGCATCTGTCGACATATCCTTCTTGATCTTATGTCTGTCGATATTGTTGACGAAGTAGATTGTTGTTTGGTCTGGGTGCCTGTAGGAGTTCTCCTGTAGGAAATCAGTACTCTGTAATCAGCTTCAAAACTAAGACGATTAGCTGACTATAACCGGGCACATACCGTCAGTTTAGACAATGCTACTTCATCCCGCCATGAATCAGGAAGGTGATCCTTCCAAGCATTGAGGAACTCGCTTCGCCCAATTGCCGAATCTAAAGCAGGCGCCATGGCCTCCAGATACGTCTCGCCGACCCATCGTGTGCACCTGACTTTGTCGATGCTGGCCCCTGTACGAGTATATCCATTAGACATTGACCATTTCCAGGCCTTCATGGCAGTAACTCACACTTCATGTCCACGTCAACAAGCCCTTGAGCCTGACCATCTCCTGCTTCGCAAACTCTCCTGACAACAGCCTCGAACAGCGCCCGCGGAAACGGCTCCTCATCCCCATCATCTAGCACCGACTTCCACAGATCTGACACAAGAAACTGCTGCTCGAGATGAATACCCTGCAGCACCGCACCTTCGAGAACCCTCTTCCACACCTCCAGCTTCGCTCTTGCAGAAGGACGCCGGCAACAACCCGCGGCACCCTTGCCCTTATCCGCCCGACCAAGCACAAACGCACAGATCTCAATCCAACCAGCTTCACATTGCGCTTGCGAAACAGGGACATCGTCAAAAACCCGACGTATGACACCTTCCTTCTCAGCCGGCTTTAGATCGAAGCCCACAGCTTCACCCCCTTCGCCCCCATCATACACCGCCAGCATACTCTCGAGGAATGAGACCGCCGAGAACCCTTCCGCCGGAGTATGCAATTCCAGCGTGGACCCGCACTTTGCGATTGTGGTGACCGTCTCCACGAGGTTCACCTCGTCGTCCGCGCCGACCATTGTGATGTCGCCTCGTCGGGCGCCGCCATCGCTAGGTTGGAGGATATGGATCGGGTTTGAGGATTGGACTTGACGGATGCGGTAGGTTCGGTTCGGGGTGCATAGATTGACATAATCGTGATTCTCGGAGTCTGTGCTTGAGTTCGGGAGGTGTGATGTTGAGGGGGATTTGAGCTCGAGGCTGCTGATGCGTTAGGCAGTTTCTCTCGTACGAATGAATTGATGAGGCGTAAATACGTTGGCCCTTCTTTTGAAGAGAGGAGCTCCGCTAGTTCTGAGGGTAGCTCGAGTAATTTGAATCCTTGCTGGGGGGATGTGTGTGTGAAGAGGATGCTTCGGGCGGCTTGGGTAGACATGGTGGTTGGTGTTTTATTGCCGCTGGCGCTTCGAGGGTCTGCCTGTCGCTTCGAATAAGGTAGTTACTTGTCGATTAGGTATACTCGAAGATCGTCCGTAATGTGTGGTTCTCATAGGTGTAACTATCGAGGTACGCAGTACAACAGGATTCAAAAAGTTCCCAAAACGCGGTACGCGCCATATCCGTGATAATGATGGGCGCACAGACCATTTCTTAATGAGGGACCCAGATCTACTTCGATTCCAGAACATCTTTGGCATGGGAACATGAAGTCCTGTATTGCTGCCCGGATTTTCCTACGCGGTTGCGATTTGTGTTCAATGGATGTGAATCCTCTTCTCTGATTGTTCTTGCATTCGAAAGCA